TGCTTCTGGATGACAAGACGGAGGGGCGCAAAGGAGACCCGGGCTTCGAACTCATGGCCCTGATGGCCGACAAGCACAAGGAACTGGCGCTGCGCGACCATCCCTACGGTCCACCAGCTGGGATCTTCGCCCCCGGAGGGACCGGAGCCAGTCCCGCCGGCTTCCCGTTTCCCGGAGGTGCGAGCGGAATTTTCCCCCCGCACGCCCACGCTCACCTGGACCGCAGGTTGCTGCGCGCCCCGGGCCGGGCGTCTCGCCCCAAGAAGCAGTTCATCTGCAAGTTCTGCAGCCGGCAGTTCACCAAGTCGTACAACCTGCTGATCCACGAGCGCACGCACACGGACGAGCGCCCTTACTCGTGCGACATCTGCGGCAAGGCGTTCCGACGCCAAGACCACCTCAGGGACCACAGGTAGGGGCTGCAAATTGTTTCTCAGACTGCCGCTAGTAGGCCACGATCACTTCCTTCCAAGTCTTTGCCAGCTAATGGCGATGTAGCTGGGTCAGGTGAGAGAATGAAGCGGTCCGTCTCGTACTTGGAAATGCTAAATACTTCGACTCGTGGCTTGCCACAACAGATTTGAAATCGTAGAAATGAGAAATATAAAGTATTTAAGGTTGGAAAAAATCGGGGGTTAGTACTACCAACCCTCCAACCCCAGGGTGAAGGAGCTCTCTGTGTCGCTTTCCACAGATATTCAGCACACATGAAGAGAAAATGAACGGCGAAATCCAGGCTCTGTGCCAGAGATCGGAAAAAGGAAAGTCTGTTGGTAATTCGGCAAGTTGTCTGCGGTGAACGTGCGTGCAAGTTACCCTCATTGCCCGGGCCAGAATGAACAAAAGTAGTTGGTGTGGCTTTAACAAATTTGCAGGTTTATTTTGAAGCATGTGGCTCCATGAGTGAGAAAAGCAGAGGCATCCTTCAACACTTCCCAGCTTTAAAATCATTTAGACGAGCTTCGGATTCACAGGGTTAATATAAAAATTGCCATTTTATCTAAATTGGTATTCTAATTTTTAATTGTAGCCTAATTGTTACCTAAACATAAAATTTTCGTGTCAGTTTCTGCTGAAAAGCTAGTACAGTTGATCGATTTACAGCGAGTGGTGTTGGCTGGTCCTAGGTTTCCGATTTGTTGGTTGCAACATAACCAGATATTTAATATCGAATTATATCGATGAGCGATTCTGAAAATAAACCAACTATGCTTTCTCCTCTCGTACAACAAACCTTGAAAGCAATTTCCCATTTTTTTATGTTTACCGGGATAGCCCACTCACTAGGCTCACCCAGTGGGTAACAGGGTTCATTTCTCGGGAGTCAACGCTCACCTCCATCGAGTGCCAAGGTTAAGAATGCGTGGAGCTGTATCTCCTCCCCCATACGCCTGCTTGTATTCGTGGGTTTAACCCATGAAATAGGCGAGCGAGAGGTATCCTACACTCGACGTGAACTGCGCACCAGCGAGCGGGCTCTCGAGCTGCACGATTTTAAATTGACGACATGAAGATGCAGTTTGATAAGGCGTAACAAACGATGACTTCGGATAGCGGCACTTCAAGTGGTTACGGGATGGTCGTGGGTTTCATCTAAATGATATTTAAGAATTCGGTCCGTACCGCAAAGAAAACACCGCACAGCTCCATTACAAAGATCAAGCCGTGAAGGGTAGTAATCGCTGTTTATTCTGAAAATCGTGTGAAACCCAAGAGGCGCTGAATTTGCTGACGGGCTCAGCTACTGTCAGCTTTTCGGGAAGGACTCTGCCCGCCTTCGTTGCAGGCGGGGTCAGACGCCAAGACTGTCGCGCGGAGGTCCTCGGCGTGCGTGTGACTTAGCATTCCTGAGCGTGGAATGCGGCGCGTTCATCCTGGCAACGCTGCAGCGACTGACTGACTGATGCTCCTGCGTTGCGGTTCGAATCTCGCCCGAGGCCAGTGTCAACAGTTGGCTGGCAGTCGTAAAGTTTCGCTGTTCATCTTATAGAAGAAAAGAAAATAGAATTTCGCTTTGTGCAGTCGGACTTGACAGTTCTTGAAGTGTTAAGAATGACACCAAAGAGTAGAAATTATTATCTGTGAGTTGAATTCCGGAAACGTCGTCTGGTTAAAAATAAACTGACTTCACGAAGCAGAGGCTTTCGGAAGCTGATAGTCTCTCAGCTAGTAAAGAAATATCTCGTCTTTCAGAGGACAGAAAAGGGTTCGTCACCGTGTTAACAACAGTCTGTTACTGCCCCATCGTCCTGATAATATTTGTGGAAGGGAACAGTTGATGGCGCGTGCGAGACGGAGGATGAAACTGATAAAATTTTAATCTCCTCTTAATTTTTCCGTGAAACTCGATCCCTTGTCAGAAGAAATAACGTGGAGGAGGGTGAGATGAGCGGGACATGTAGCACGCCTGGGAGAGGTGGGGAAGACGGGAAGCGGCCATTTGGGAATGTAAGGAGTGGATAAGCGTTCGGTGTTGCAATTAATCTTGGAGGTTAGGATCCAGTGGCGTGCTCTTGTGTCTTTCGACTCCACGGAGGCCGAAGAATTGCTTTCTAGTTGAACTTCTGTCAGCAGCTCAAGACAAAGAAGACCCTGCGGCGTGGAGTTGGGATAAAGGCCGGTGATTCTGAACACGATCGCGCAGACGCCACTTGTTGCTAATAAATGTAACGGTGGGGTTGGTATTTCGACTTTTTTCGCCGAATGACGTAAGGACTCGCCTCGTTTGCGGTTTGCTTAAGATTGAATCAGAATGGACCGACCGGATTGGTCTTCTGGGTTGAAACGCTGTGTATTTGTTTTCCGCCACGGAATTACCCTGAAGATAGAGGGAGTGTGTTCCTCGAAAACTTTGGTGTCCGCAAGGCTGGAAGACCCACCATGGACATACTCATTTGCGTCGATGATTCGATTCGAGATGCATGAGGACCGCAGCATTCAAGTTCCAATGAAAAGTTAACATCTCTTTGGGGCTTGGCGGCCGACGTTCGATTCTCGTCGGGGGTACCGATTTCTCTCCTCGCCGTCGCATCTAGACCGGATCTCTGGTTCATCCACCGTTTTGCTGTGAGGTATTGTGGTTGGAGCCTGGTTGCAGAGTTAATTTGCCTCCGTCTGGTCAGTTCGCGTCGCTGTAGCCCATTGGGATTCTGACCCCTGGTCACGAACGCAAACACCGGCATCCCGTAACGTAATGGCTGTCGGGCTGTTTCCATGTGCGCGGAGCGCAATATTTACTTACGACTTGACGGTAATCGAACACAGGAGCTCTGACCCCGGACCTGCCGACGATAAATTTAGTCGCCCAGCGCCGTGCCATGGTGTGAGTGGCGCGACGGGGGGCGTGACTTGCCGACACCTGATCCAGGGAGGCGAACCGCGCAGAAATCATTCATTGTCTTGTGTTTGGCACCCAGTGGCCCGCCACTCGCTGCCTCCGATATGTACAGTACAAAATAAGATAAGATTTAAGAGATTGGTGGTTGGCGTTCACAATTCTTTCACCGCCGACAACCCAGCGTGATTTAGGGTTTCTGTTCCACACGGTTGATGCGCCGTGCGTGTTAACATCCACTTCATAGACATCGAGAACCAAACGCGAACGCTGGCACATTCTTCATAAAACGCAACCTTTTACTCCAATTTATAGGGAACGCAAGGCACTCTCCTCCCGAGTCCCGGCGTTCATGGTTTATGCACGTTTCATTTTCACGTACAACCTCCCCCTGTATTTTGAGTCTCCTGCCATCCACGCGATCTTCATTCGCTGCTGCCCACATTGTCTCTCTGGCGGACTTGTATGTCTGCTGTGGGGCCCGCGGGCCCTTTTCCACGCGTGTCCTGTGCGCTACACGTGCAAAGAAACACTTGCCAGCCTTTTCAGGTTTCTAGTTAGAGGAGAACGTCACGTGTTCTTCCCAGACGTTCGTGTCTTTTTTCCTTTCTAGTCCTGAAAATCAGTCTTAAGTGGCGGTCTCGTGCAAACAGCAAGGAACCTTTTGGTCTTTGGGTACCTGAGCGACTGTCAGCTTCTCAGGAAGGGTCGTGCTTCCTTGTGTTCCTTCATCAGTGTTGTTTGTTGTAACAGAATCTTTGTGGTTGTTGTGGACCTCACAACACTGAGGTTCCTGCACGGAACTGCCGTCGCCTTCTGTGAACTTCTAAAGTAAGGGAATGCTCACACGTAATTGGGGCTGCAGCGCTGTCTCCTTCATCTCGCGTGATTTCAGAGATGGAGACGTGACGGCTGTCGTCCAAAATTTCATGAAAATCGGTCATTCGTTTCTGGTCCTGTAAAAGGGAACGCGCTCAGTTTCCACGAACTGTTCTCGCCACTTGTCAGTGGGGGCCGCCGTCGGACCGGTTCTTGGCTCTGCCAGTGCTACCAACTGCTCATTAAGATGCCACCAGCTTGATGTTTAAACATAAATCCTTTGTTCCCGCGCGCACTTCCTGTTCGACGACCTCGGGTTCTAATTTCCGCGGCCAGCTGCATTTCGCTGTTGGCCTCGCGCGAGTCTTGACAGAATGGTGCTCCACATCCAGGGGCCAAGAGTTCGATCCTTGGTCTGTGGATGTCAGTCGCTGTAATTCAACCAGTGTCCAAGCGGTCTGAAATGACTCAACAGGAATCAATTGCTCGTGAGGGCAACGGAATGCAGCGGTCGGCTGTTTCTTACCTGCGCTGGCCTTCTCGCTCGCTCGCTCGCTCGCTCAGGTAGAGGAGAGGACCGGTTTTTATTCACATCAGAGCGTTGTTGCCACGTTCTCCGTTTGATGAGCTGCGGTCAGTGTATCAAACATTGGAATGTCGTGCGTCCCAAATAATGTTCTTGAAATGTCGCACTTAATCACCAGAATGCCGGGTGAAGATTAATGAGCAGGTCCTTGAGAAATTTGAACAAATTCAAATAATGGGGTACGACAATTTCATTCATGAAGAAATTGAGAATATTAAATTCGCCAAGTGCGTACTGGAGTCTCGTAATTTGTGTTTCCCATTGCGTTGTTGATATCGATCTAATACAGAAGCAAACTTTGGGAAATACGAAATTTCCGCAAATGTTTTGTTGGGAAAACTCGTGGTATAAGCGAGAAAAATATTAAGATGTATTTTGAAGAAATTGGGTGTTGAAATTTCGACTGGATTAGCCTGAATCAGGACCGGCACAAGTTGCGACTTTTTGCTAACGGGGTGTTGCACCTTGCAGTCAAGTGGGTATTGGCCGGGGTTTCGTAGGGGCTTTCTGCTGCCATCCTCCTGGTGCCGCATCCCAAAAGACAGCCATCTTCATACTCGTCCCCGTGGGAACCTGCTATCTCGCCAGGATGATGAATCAGGAATTTGTTGACCTGCGTGGTACTGACTGCTGGATCGGGATTTGTCTGGTGTCTAGGCGCTTACGAGTAAGAGCGACGCAAGCCATGACGAATTTTCTGTATAAAATAATGCGAAACCAAATTTCGGCCCAAACAGGAACCACGCTGCGTTTGCACTGGACCTTCCAATTGTATTCTGGTCGATCTGTTAGAAGACTTTTCAATGCCATTCATATTTAGAGTGACATGTTTCGGCCCGCAAAAGGGGTCATCTTCAGGCCCCAGCTAATCCTACTGTCAATACGAACGGAAACTCCTGGTACACTGACGCCCAGAAATCTGTTTTCCAAACTTAATGGTACTTCAAAGAAATGCGCGTTGACATTTGTTGTAGGTGAAGTTTTAATCGATGAGTATTTAAAGTGTGAAATTATTCTTTGAAAGAGAATAATTTTGAACATTGACAGTTTTTACCTCTAAATGCAGGTGATGTGAGATGGAACGAATCAGGACTGCGGAATTCAGAAAGTAGGCGTGTGTAAAAGTGCGGAAAACACTATAAACGCATGTTAAGTATAAATGTCCAGATTAAGACAGAATCGCAGTTTGATAAGTTTACAGTGAAAGTGTAAAAGCGACTTACGAAAACAAGAAATATATTAATTTCACGTCTTTATTAAGAATTCAAAGACATTGGCGATATAAGAAAGTGAATTAAGTTGCTCTGTGCAGTTCAGGAGCTGAGACAACGCCTGTTCATTGCTTTTGGCAAATTCCTTTTCTGTGCTGTCCTCTTGCGTACGTCATTTTCGCTTTTATTTTGCTATTAATTAAATACCTGAAAGAAAGACCCGTTGTAGGTCCTGCGGAGATGCGCTTCGATTCAATTTTGGAAGCAAATTCTGGGGAGGAGAATTGTCATTTTGGTTCCACGAACTTAACGCTGACAGTTGCAGTTTACTTCAGTCCATTTTTCATGTGAAACAAAGTAACTCTCTTCGTTCGTGTTAACAGCTCGTCTTCTGTAAATCACTTTGTGTGGAAGAATGTGAAGTAATTGTTAAACGATGCTTATGTGTAGGAAGAGGGAGAAACGACACGAGGGCAGGACTGAGAGCGTGGAAGCGACGATTTGGAAACGTGTGAGGAAGGAGGCCCTTTGAACGGACCTCAGTGTACATGAGAGAAAAATATTTAAATTAATTTCAAAGACGATGAGCGAGGGTTCGCTGCGGGTTCTAGTGGATCCTGGGTTCGACAAGAGACTTGAAACCCTTGACCAGCTGAGGCTCTGTTAGCTTCTGCAGACAAAATGTTAGAAAGAGGACGAGTCTGAAGCTGGGTGGGGCTTTTGACGGTTGACGGCTGTCTGTTGCAGGTACATCCACTCGAAGGAGAAGCCGTTCAAGTGTGGCGAGTGCGGGAAGGGGTTCTGCCAGTCCCGGACGCTGGCCGTACACAAGATCCTGCACATGGAGGAGTCCCCGCACAAGTGCCCGGTGTGCAGTCGCAGCTTCAACCAGCGCTCCAACCTCAAGACGCACCTCCTCACGCACACCGACCACAAGCCCTACGAGTGTGGCTCGTGCGGAAAGGTGTTCCGGCGCAACTGCGACCTCCGGCGTCACGCCCTGACGCACACGGTGGGCGACGTGCCGTCCGAGGTGCTGGGCGAGACGCCACCACCCCCGCACAAGGAGCCGTCGCCGCCCTCGTCCGATTCGCCACCCCCCACGACGCGTTGCCACCACCACGACCCTTCAGAGTCCTACACGATGCGTCCCCCGCCCGACCCCCCGCACCTGCCACAGCTGCAGATCCGCCGAGACCTGCACAGGCCCTCTGCCACCGTGACCAGTCTGGAACCCACTCCGGGCACGAGCATGGGCCTCGGCATATTCCGGAGGAAGTTGCCGGAGCCTCCGGACATCCGCAGCCCGCGGCCTGACGCAGAGGCAGGACCGTCGACATCGCGAGACATCGCCAGGCCGCAGAGGAACCCGTCCACGAAGATGCACGGCTTCAGCATAGAGGAAATTATGAGACGCTAGCATTTCGCGCGTCGTTGCAAGATGAAAGAACCAAAGAGACCAGACGCTCTCATTCGGCATTGAACATTTTAGTAGGTCCGGGGACCTCCAGGACGTTCCGTTGTTGTTTACGATCTCAAGATGTAGTAGAATACAGAGGAGGGAGATGTCGCAACGTCGCCTCATCGCGCCCTGCACGAATGTACTAGAACAGTGAATAGCATTATAATTAATACAATAAAAAATGTTGCTTCGTTTTTAATCTGGCCTGTACCATAAATCAGAATGTTCTTCTCCCCTCCTCTCTCCGCTCGCTCAGATCCTGTTCCGTCCACTGCCCCGGGAGGCTTGCGCATGCGTCCAGGAACAAGTTTCACGGCCCCTCCCTGACGTAGTTTACATAAGTAGAGCAGCTGCAGTGCCACCAACTTCTGAACAACGCTTCGTTTCTCGGAAAAATGCACTTTTAATTCTTTTAGGCTAATTTGAAAGTTGAACCTATTTTAAATGTTATCTTCGCTGTTTTTGTGTGTGGAGCGTTACAGAATGTTCAGTACCCGGTTCGATGTTTTCTGATGTATGTAGTAAGATTACAGTTTTCCGTGCGAGTTGTACGTTTAGTTTGCTTCGTGTAAGCAGCTTTTATACCGGGCCGGCACGTTTCGAAATCGAAGTGCAGTGTAGCCCCATCATCGAAAGTCATTCTTCGAAACCTGGCTCTCCGAAATGACGCTTTCAGTGGCTGCCTCGCCCTCGTGGGCAAATGCGTAGCTGACAGCACGAACTGAGAGACAAAGAAATTCTGGCCATCTGAATCTGTCGCTGTAAATGTCCGACGTCCTGGGCTCCAAGGTCAAAGCTGCGCCGCGTTCCTGGCTGCTTGTTGGTACAAAAACGTAATGAGTGCTCCGACGTGATTAAAACAGAAACAGCCCGGAGGGAGGCTCAGCCTCGCCGAGCCGTGGCTTTTGTGTTGCCGTCATGACTTCGCCCTACTCGTTCGGAACGCGGACAAATGGCTTTAGCAGGTGGACTACTTAGTAATTCCTCTGCGTATTTACACAACGGACACAGTTTCTCTTTGCGTTTTCACAGCGCGCGGAGAGAAACCCGAACGAACAGAGCTGCTGCGGTCCTCCTATCCAATCCAGGGAAGTCGAGCCCCTGTCCGTCCTGCCCGCAGCCTCTGGCAACGGAGCAGGCGAGAACTTACCGACGTTGCCATTCGGCTTCGCCCAGAGCCAGCTGAATGCAGTCCACGGCTTCACAAATTTGTTTCTCGAAGCTCTGTTCTAATATTGTACGCCCATCTATGCCTAGTTCTTCAAGTGACGTCTTCCCTTGAGGCCCATCACTTTTACAGGTGCCGCCTTCTTGCCCCCGTGGTCCATGCGTCGACCTCAGGATCTGCTTCACAAAGGCTAGCGTAAAAGATTTCGGCGTTGCAGAGGAAACAGAAATTATTTTAATTTGGTTCAAGTTTTGTAGTTGCTCAGTTTTTGGCGCAGAAACTTTGATTGGAGGATATGTCGCAGGTGATTCAAAAGGTTAGGGCCAAACTGGAGGAGCGTATAGAGGGACTCGGAGAGTAGGAATCCGCGTCCTCCGAAGTTATCCTGAGTCAGTAGAGGCCGTTGAAGGTACGGAGGTCTGATAACATTCCGCTGAAATAATCTATTCTCCTATTAGCTTAATTTGTTTTATTAATGTACAACGATAACATTAGCAATCTTACAAACCAAACCAAACCCAGGAGCCTCTGTAGAATCTGACGGGATACGTGTGATTCAAAACTAAGCTACCAATGGCCTCGACTGACTCAGGATAACTTCGGAGGACGTGGATTCCTACTCTCCGAGTCTCTCTATACGCTCCTCCAGTTTGGCCCTAACCTTTTGAATCACCCTGTACTTATGGGGTTTCCGTTTAAAATAAAACTCGTTTTTTAGTAGAGTAACGATAACTTCCCCAGTTTCTCTGCCCCACTCAACAAGAGCTTTGTTGCCACACATCCCACGTGACTCTGTGCCGTGTCTTTTAGGCGTTCACTCTCATATTCCTACTCGTTTCCGTCTGTTTGAGGTCTCGGACTCCGCTCTCCCTTGAACGTCAATCTGGCACATACACACAATTTTATTCCATATTCTGTGTTCTCATCTGCATGAAATTGTAGGCTGAGAAAACAAACGGCCATGGCCTATTTGAAGGCAATATTCCATAATTTGCTGGACAGACGGATCGGGGCTAGAACCCGGGGCATCTATTTAGAATACCGCGGAAGGAAAACCAGTAAGTAACTCGACATTTTAGTTAGTTTACGGGATGAAAATCCCCCGTGGGAAGTCGATAGGCGCTCAGGTGCTAAAGAAATTTCCTATCTCGCACTGGAGGTGCACAGACAAATCCAGTTCACACCCGCCTCCTGAAGACCCACTTTCGTATCAGCTTTCTGTCTCCGCCTTATATTCAGATAACGGTAATCAGGTACGCGAAGAACTGGGTTCACGCCTCGTCACGAGAATGCAGGACAAAACAGGCCTATAGCTGATAAACCCTGCAGAGACGTGGGCAAGTTCAGAAACTGAACCAAGTCGAGGGAAAGGAACATTACGTGACGAGGAGCTTCGAAATATCCACTCGTCAGGTAAGATGGGATGGCATTTAGCACGCATGGGTGATATGAGAAATGCCTTTAGCAAAACGTGACGCAAAGAGAGATTCGACAATACTAAAATAAGTTTGTTATGAAACAGGGCGTGAGTGGTTTGAACTGGCTCAGGACAGGGGCCAGTGGCGGGTTGTGTTGACAACAGCAGTGAACTTGCGGGCTGCATAAAAAGGGGAGGACTTTCTTGAGTGGCTGAAGGACTTCTCTCCAGGATGTCGGTGTTTATTTAACGACATTGGAGAGAATACGCAGTGTTTAAAAGAGAGATCCTCTGCGTTACCATTATCCAAAACTTTGCTCAAACAAATTCTCAACCGCCCTGGCTGATCCTGGTGTCGCACTGAACTTGAGGGTGTTGGTGCTCGATCGGTCAGAGATGTGCACCAGTCGCTGGACCCAGCAGACTCAGGCTTTGATCGCAGAAAAATATTACAGGTTTATGAACTTGCTGAGAATATGTTTCGATGACTGGATAGGCGACTGTGGTCATGGCGACGAAACGTTTAGGCCTTATAACAGAGTACTTGATGAGCGGTACAAATTACGGGGACTTCCCATTACGTAGCTTCGTCCCTCTTGGGTCCAATTATTTTCGTAAGCACCCCATTCTGAAACCTCTTCAGTACTCTTCGCAGAGACAGACTGTCCTTCCCTCGGGTCTGCACGTCGCGGCGATCCTGTTCCCGAGACGCGCCACACAAACTGACGTGCGGGAGGAGTCAAATGCGCTTCATCAGATCTCTCTATGGGGTTTCCGTTTAAAATAAAACTCGTTTTTTAGTAGAGTAACGATAACTTCCCCAGTTTCTCTGCCCCACTCAACAAGAGCTTTGTTGCCACACATCCCACGTGACTCTGTGCCGTGTCTTTTAGGCGTTCACTCTCATATTCCTACTCGTTTCCGTCTGTTTGAGGTCTCGGACTCCGCTCTCCCTTGAACGTCAATCTGGCACATACACACAATTTTATTCCATATTCTGTGTTCTCATCTGCATGAAATTGTAGGCTGAGAAAACAAACGGCCATGGCCTATTTGAAGGCAATATTCCATAATTTGCTGGACAGACGGATCGGGGCTAGAACCCGGGGCATCTATTTAGAATACCGCGGAAGGAAAACCAGTAAGTAACTCGACATTTTAGTTAGTTTACGGGATGAAAATCCCCCGTGGGAAGTCGATAGGCGCTCAGGTGCTAAAGAAATTTCCTATCTCGCACTGGAGGTGCACAGACAAATCCAGTTCACACCCGCCTCCTGAAGACCCACTTTCGTATCAGCTTTCTGTCTCCGCCTTATATTCAGATAACGGTAATCAGGTACGCGAAGAACTGGGTTCACGCCTCGTCACGAGAATGCAGGACAAAACAGGCCTATAGCTGATAAACCCTGCAGAGACGTGGGCAAGTTCAGAAACTGAACCAAGTCGAGGGAAAGGAACATTACGTGACGAGGAGCTTCGAAATATCCACTCGTCAGGTAAGATGGGATGGCATTTAGCACGCATGGGTGATATGAGAAATGCCTTTAGCAAAACGTGACGCAAAGAGAGATTCGACAATACTAAAATAAGTTTGTTATGAAACAGGGCGTGAGTGGTTTGAACTGGCTCAGGACAGGGGCCAGTGGCGGGTTGTGTTGACAACAGCAGTGAACTTGCGGGCTGCATAAAAAGGGGAGGACTTTCTTGAGTGGCTGAAGGACTTCTCTCCAGGATGTCGGTGTTTATTTAACGACATTGGAGAGAATACGCAGTGTTTAAAAGAGAGATCCTCTGCGTTACCATTATCCAAAACTTTGCTCAAACAAATTCTCAACCGCCCTGGCTGATCCTGGTGTCGCACTGAACTTGAGGGTGTTGGTGCTCGATCGGTCAGAGATGTGCACCAGTCGCTGGACCCAGCAGACTCAGGCTTTGATCGCAGAAAAATATTACAGGTTTATGAACTTGCTGAGAATATGTTTCGATGACTGGATAGGCGACTGTGGTCATGGCGACGAAACGTTTAGGCCTTATAACAGAGTACTTGATGAGCGGTACAAATTACGGGGACTTCCCATTACGTAGCTTCGTCCCTCTTGGGTCCAATTATTTTCGTAAGCACCCCATTCTGAAACCTCTTCAGTACTCTTCGCAGAGACAGACTGTCCTTCCCTCGGGTCTGCACGTCGCGGCGATCCTGTTCCCGAGACGCGCCACACAAACTGACGTGCGGGAGGAGTCAAATGCGCTTCATCAGATCTCTCCCAGGCCGTAAAGGCAAAGGTGCACTCGCCACGAGGACTTGAGGGTCAAACCCTACAACTTCCTCCTAACAGCCGAAATGCACGTGCCTTTTGTATACGCTACCGGCCGGGGCAGACTGTCGCTGAAACGGCCGGAGCTTGCAGCTCGCTGCAGGCAGGAGCAAAGTCGTCGGGGCTCAGTCGCTGGAGCATTTGGCGGACCTGCTGCATTGTCGTGCGGGCTGTAGGCCACAGCCACGCCGGGCACGCGCCCAACCCTATCAGACTGACGTCTCCAATGCACTCACTGCCCTTAATTCGCGTTTTAAAGACTACGAAACCTCCGAAAGGAGGCCCTACGCTCATCTTGA